AATCACAGTTGAAAACGTATGTGGATCTCGCGTGGGTTGGGGTATGGCCCATTTTGTCCTCCATAACAGGGGTTTCCAGCTGTTGTTTTGTAAACTGGAAGATGTCTTGCAAGGCCAGGTAAACCTAAAATATTTTTTCAGATATGTATTAATTAAAGAGCACATATTCACACTGAACAAAATACAATCTATACATAAAAGGGGATTAGATTAAAGAAGCCTCACCCAAGCTGGCGATGATCAAACAGAAACCTAGAAAGTGAAACACAAATAAAATAGGAATTTGAAAACACAATTTCAAGCAAGTTTTCTTCTATTTATTCAAATAACCTACAGGGTATTTTAGAGTAACCGCAACAAAGACCCAACTACAACGTGTCTTAATACATTGCATCGTTTAAGAAGCTGACACCCATAATATATGATATGTATTCATGAAGAGAGGATATATGTTTTGATTTGCTCTCTACACTAAATGGGTTACAGCTGACAGAATGAGGGTAAAAAACTTCCACACCTGCCATAAGAATACATCCGTAACATATCTTTTTAATTATTGACATAGAATTATAGCCAGATCTATTGTACCCTAAATGAAGCAGTGCAATGGTAAATCAGTTCAGTTGCAGTTTTGGCTTTTCTTGCCGTTTTCATTTGGATTACATATAGCCTGACTTATGACTTAAACTTCTTCTTAATTGGTTAATATTAATTTACCATATCCGTACAAGCTTGGATCGATAAGGATACATTGCTTTGATTACGAGTTGAGATCTCGTCTCTAATATAACTTGTCTTAGGTGAGATGTTCGGGATAAGTAACCATGGTAACAATACAGGTAACAATACAACTTCCATCATATAACTGAAAACCCAGGTTTACCAATAAGGTAATTTGCAATGCCCAAACATCTTCTTTATTTTATTCCTCCTCAGCTTAGTCTATCCAAACTTAAACAGCAAATAAAAGAACACAGATATTATCTTTCCTCTACTTTTCTGCAGTATTTGTTTGTATATGTGCAGATTATTATAATGATACTCTCCGAGATTTCTATAGCCACTAAATTACATTGGAGTTGAATGGGATTTTGTTCAACAATATAAAAATGAGTTATCTATATTCCCGGACGATCAACACTGTGTCTGTTTTGTGGATCATGAGTATAGAGTGAATAATTAACTCAAACTAAGAAAACTAGCAAAAATTCAATTCAATGTAATCTCTTATCAAATTATCCACTAAGTAATTAGATTTGTGCAAGTTCAGGAAAAGGAGCTGTTTAATTTTCTGTTGGGCTTCAACATTTATGTTTATGTTTATAATTCACTTGATCAGCATGCCTTACCTGCAGTTATAGTGAGCTTGCCCATTTTGGCACCGTGTGGTTAAGCTGAAAGAGAAGCATCTGATTAATATGCAGGAGAATCATTCTTGCTCACTGGCCACTGTGGCTAGTGGTTTTCCAAAGATACCAGCCACAATTTCTGTTGTTGGGAAATTAAGTCTAATTTGATTACGGTTGACTACTGTCTGCTACAATTTACTTGAAAAACTAGATTTACAATCCTTTCAAATGTAGATAACCATTGTAAACACCCAAATCAAGATTATATGAAATGTATATGTACAGTCCAAATATGCAGCTCTTGAAGTTTGTAAAGCTCCTTTTGTATAAAAACATATGCAACTGATTAAGACAAAGACAAAAAGAGTAGCTCATTGAATATAACTGGGGCAGTCGGTACTTTGTTGTCCGTTTAGTCGCAATGCTTTTGATATGACCAACAGAAATCGCATTGTCCTTTATTGTTTCCACTGTCAAGTTACTTTTTCCCAACTACAAAAGAGACCTCCTTAATTTTTTTACTCCTCTACGTCCTACAATCAGGGCATCACATTATTTTCATGGCTTGATCATAAACCAGCCGTTCTCAACTGGACGTTCACTTTTTGCTGAACAGTCTTCTTTTTCATTGCGTGTCTCAGGGTCAATGCATGAGGATTGAGAACGCACTCGGTACTCGGTTTACATGAACCACCGCTGCCACCAATGTGACCGAGTGTTCTGGGCTCGTAAACTCATGACACAATACTAACCACATTAATAACCGCCTTCACCCCTCAACCATCCTTTTGCCTCTACGGCAACACTGAGGGGCCCTGCTATCTCTATCTATAAAAATTCCATCCACTAAAGTGGCTAGAAAGAGCGAGTGCTTTACCCGCCACAGCCGAATTCTACTCGCATTTGGTGGGTGGGCGGGTGCTAATGTCAATCCCTGAGCGGTTTGAATGTTAACACATCTATTCTTATTGATTCATTGTTCCGACAACAAGCCTGAGAACCTCACAGCTTAATACACAAACTCTCTGGATTTTCTTTCAAAGTAAGACATTTTTATATTCTGTGGTGTATCCCTCAATGCCACTAAACACAGTATGCGGTTTTACAAATTCAATTAAAAGTGGTTGGTTATGATCAAAGTAAAAGGTATACTTACAAGTGGTGAAAGAAGCATACACTGTCTCTGCCATGACTAGCGACTGACAGTAGTGCTTAACACTTGAAGCCTTGCTTAAATGGAGCTCACTGGGCGTGACTTGTTTTCACAGTGTTCCAAATTAAAATTGTCAACATATTTGATTATAAGGAAATTGGCTCAGGTAGCTCTCAGGGTCAGCAGGGGCGGTTTGGACTTTGATAAGGATACCTCCCAGATACCTACCTTTTGAACCTTAAAAGTAAGGCATCTTTATGAGATGTCAAACCCCTTCAGAGCCAATTTCCTCATAACTTGTCGAGTGTACAATTAACAAATTGTGACCTACATTGTGACCTACATTGTTACCTACATATTTGCCACACCTTGTCGGCTCGTCGACCAGTCACTAGACACATCATAGACAGTTTATGCAGTTGATCACTATTTGTAAGTCAGCGGCTGTCTTTTTTTTTTTTTTTGGTAGGCCAGTCAATGAGTTTCTGTAAACATCCCAGTATGATCCAATGCAAAAAAAAAACCTATCAAACACGCATTATTACTTTGCAGTTACATTTTTATATTTATTATTAACGTTTATTCCAGCGGTTTAACAGCTAATTCAAACAAGTCAGTATATTAACGAAGCGTTGTATGTGCCTCTTCCCTTTCACACTATCTGATTGTGAGGTCAGGCTGATCTGGGTCCACCTGTTTTACCTCTAGTTTCTCCGGCAAAGTTCTTCTCTCGTACCGAGTTCTGGTCGAGTCTTCTTGGAAGGACACTGCCGGTGGTCGCTCTTGTTATATAGTTAAACGAGCTCGGCTTAAGGCTGCGAAGCGCTGGCCCAAATCTCAATTTATTTTAGGACTCATTACCTTAAAGCAGTGATTGGCTAAACTGCTTCTTAAAAAATGTAGAATGTATGAAGAGGGCAGTTTCTGTAGGTGAGTGAGTAGCTGTCCCACCCTGAATCCCTTCCATCACAAGCCTTCCTTGGTTTAAAACAAGGGCCAATTCCTCGGCTGGGGTGAAGCCTGGTGCTCGTGCCCTCCAGTCCCAAACAAATGAGCCTTCTTCTCAACTGCAAAAATGTACATTTTTTTTATCTAAAAAATCAGATAAAATATGTGAGCAGGCATCTTGTAAGTAATAGTCAAAGTAAAAGTGTACATACCATTTTCAAACTGTCAAGGCCTTCACCCCAATGCAAAATGTTCTCAGGATCTTGACGGGATCTTTTGCCAGCATATTTTTTGTCCAGTCGTGTTTGTTCTGTAGGAAAATTAATTGTAGAAAGATATTTGACAGCTTGTACAGAACTTTCCTAGTACGTAGATTTTGTAAATCCTTCCGCATTCAGTCGGTTCGCTATTGTCTGCCAAGCTTTTCTCTTGTTTAATTACAGCTGCCGTTTTTCCTTCTTTTACATATTAGATACTTAACCTCCTCAAGTTTCCATAATTAGTTGCTGCTCAGCGGGTTATAAATATGCCCGCACGCGCCTTCGCCATTCCGACATCAGTAAATCTGTGATCGATGACGTGGTCTACTTAAGAAAGCTGTGGGCGTGCACTTATCCCAGCTATGTACACCTGGATTGCCTTAGCTCCCTCTTCTCATCCCGGCTCGGCAAACGTGCAACTGATTAAGCCGCGATGAGTCGATCAAGTCAAGCGGCGCCTTTTCAGTTATCCTGGATTTCTACTTTTGTGTTTATTGTTTTTCCACTGCCATAAATACTTATCACAAATGTTATATTTATACATGTGGTTTTTGCATTCTTACTATATGTGTATCAAACACTGTTGTATGGTTTGTTCTTAATTACATTTTCATGTAATGATTATTTTATATTTATTAAGATTAGATTATTTTGATTTATAACTTGTACGATAAAACAGATGTTGGTGTAGGTAGTTACTCTTTTTCTATGTGTTGTTTTATGACAATAAATAACATGTAAAACACCTTTTATACAACCAATGTCATGATTGTGTCACAGCGTTAATGGGAGAAAAAAATGCAGGCAAACACAAATCACTAGTAGTAGCGAGCGAGAGTCACACATTGAATATTGTTATTTTGAGGTGTTTTTGGGAGACAGAATTGATATTGCATACATTTGAGATGATTTACTGTGACTCTAGCAAGCTAGTATCAGCACAGCATAATGTTTAAATCGAAGATAGTCTTTTTTGGGTAAAAGTAATAAGGTGAACACCCCTGTATTTTAAAAAGATATTATTATAACATGTCATGGAGTGATTTTTAGTTAATCTAATAATTGTTTATGCCGTGGTTCACAACAATCACAAGAAAATACAATTTTAAACAAATAGACTCAGCCATTATTATTGAGTGTTTGTTTGATAGAAACAACAAGATCTGGGCTGATGCAATGACCAGATTGTATTCAACAGATTCCTATGTTGTTGAAAAGGATCATAATGACTACAACTTGATCTTGTTTCATACTGAAGTGGTGGCAGATTAAACTAAGATTGTATTATTTCAGATCCCTCTTTTAACTTATGTTAAATAATATGTGTTAATGGAATATCCGAACAGTATATACTTTCCGAACAAGTATCCATGAACAACTTTCTTCATTTCTTAGAAAGTTTTATTTGTTTATGTCTGTTATCACTTACACATCGTTTTTCAGAGTGACATGGATGAACACAGTGCATCCATACGGCCATTTTAGCTTGTGTCTCTTTCAGGGGAGTTGAGTTTCCCTGTTCCTGTGCAGGAAGAACAGAGTCACACCCTCACCCATCACTCTAGGTGATTCCCCCGTCACCACTGTGGATTCCTTCCGTTTCCTGGGCTCCATCATCACTCAAGACCTCAAGTGGGAGCTGAACATCAGCTCCATCACCAATAAGGCTCAGCAGAGGTTGTTCCTTCTGAGACAGCTGAAGAAATTCAACCTGCCAAAGACGATAATGGTGCACCTTTACACAGCCATCATCGAGTCCATCCTCTGCTCCTCCATCACCGTCTGGTACACTGAAGCCACAGCCAAAGACAAGGGCAGGCTGCAGCGTGTCATCCGCTCTGCAGAGAGGGTTATCGGCTGCAATATGTCGTCCCTCCAGGACTTGTTCGCTTCCAGGACCCCTATTGAGAGATTTCTTTTTATAATTATAATATTTTTATTTTAATTTTATAATATAATTAGTTGAGACTGCAGTTGTCTGGGGGGGATTATTGAGCTGCATAGTGTGAGTCTCTCAGGAAGGTGACCTTTTAAGTGAGCCTGTGTCCTGTCCAGGCTGGTCCAAGTCAGTCCAGGGTGAGATAAAGTTTCAACGGATGGAAACCATATGTATACCTCTGGTTTTTCAGAGTGACATGGATGAACACAGTGCATCCATACGGCCATTTTAGCTTGTGTCTCTTTCAGGGGAGTTGAGTTTCCCTGTTCCTGTGCAGGAAGAACAGAGTCACACCCTCACCCATCACCCTAGGTGATTCCCCCGTCACCAATGTGGATTCCTTCCGTTTCCTGGGCTCCATCATCACTCAAGACCTCAAGTGGAAGCTGAACATCAGCTCCATCACCAATAAGGCTCAGCAGAGGTTGTTCCTTCTGAGACAGCTGAAGAAATTCAACCTGCCAAAGACGATAATGGTGCACCTTTACACAGCCATCATCGAGTCCATCCTCTGCTCCTCCATCACCGTCTGGTACACTGAAGCCACAGCCAAGGACAAGGGCAGGCTGCAGCGTGTCATCCGCTCTGCAGAGAGGGTTATCGGCTGCAATATGTCGTCCCTCCAGGACTTGTTCGCTTCCAGGACCCCTATTGAGAGATTTCTTTTTATTGCAGTTCAAACTTTGAGAAATGGTGTGTTTGTTGCAAAAATTGCAAAAATATGACTTTTACTTTGAAGAAATCTCCAAATCTGTACAGTAAACAATAGTAGCCAGAGATGTCCTTAACGCATGTGTGTTTGACTGGAATTATTGAGAACACTATTTTTATTGCAGTTCAAACTTTGAGAAATGGGCCTTTTGAACTTTGAAATATAAGATAATTATCTGACTTTGTACAGTAAAAGTTTTTATTGCAGCTCAAATATTGAGAAATTATCTTTTTGAACATATACTTATGGGACTTTTACTTGGGAAATCTCCAAATCTCTACAGCAAAAACACTTCATATTGAGCATGTTAGTAGTCAGAGAGGCCCTTAACACAGGTACATTGGTCTTTGCCTGTGAGAGATTGATTTTCATCGCAATCCAAATATGGAGAAAAATGACATTTTCCTCTCATCATAAGTTACCGCCATCGTGTGGTTAACAGACAATCCTCTATTTGGAAAAAATATAATTAGTTGAGACTGCAGTTCTCTGGGGGGGATTATTGAGCTGCATAGTGTGAGTCTCTCAGGAAGGTGACCTTTTAAGTGAGCCTGTGTCCTGTCCAGGCTCACCTGGTCCAAGTCAGTCCAGGGTGAGATAAAGTTTCAACGGATGGAAACCATATGTGTCCTGACTGATCCATAAATGTTATTGATTGACTGGGTCCCATTGAGGGTGGGTCACGGGTGTCTCCCCTACGTCGTCTGGTACTTTTCCATACATTCCTTTTGCGGGGGGGCGGACTCTCCTGTGCTGAAACAACACAAACCTCTCTGAAGTGTATAAAACCTCTCTCTGTACTTGTGCTGATGATTTTGGTATTCTTTATGATTTTTCTATATTCTAGTTAGTAATAAAAACTTAATCACAAACAAGTTTATGATACTTTTGATTTCTCACAAGGGCTTAATCAAAGAATTTCCACCACAAGAGCCAGCTGTGAAAGCTGTGATTCGGAAGACAGTCTTCATATTGATTAACACATTAAATAACAAAGCAATAAAAATAAAATTGAATGAGTGTGATTTATGTTTTCTGTTTATTTTGGTTAAAAAAAATCTAAAACTCTTAGACTACTGTAGACTACTATCTGTAGACTACTGCCTAATAGTCTTATTGCTGCGATTTGCTGACAAATGCATATACAGGAAGCTAAAATAAGTATATGTATTACTT